TAAATCTAGAAAACAAAATATTAAAGCATTAATATAATGGTTTAATAAAGTCATAAAATAATAATCATCCTCATCAGTTTATTTACTCCCATTAATTACTTTTTGTTCTGCTTAATCCTGGGTTAGAAGTTTTATGAATCAATCAGTTTATCCATTAGATTTTTAGAAATTCTTACCAAGCTCAGTGGTATGATCTTAACGTTATCAGAAGCTTACACTTGTCAGAGTCTTTTCCATGAACCTCTTTAAAGATAAAGCAATTTTGTCTGTAGTTGATTTCAGGAAAACATCAGAGTAAAACAACTATCTGTGAATGACAAATGCTTTTAAATGGCCATGGTCAAAAATCTCATGAGCGATCATTACAATACAGTTGATAAGAAAATTTGGTTATTTCTGTGGCATGCAACATTTTCAGATAATAACTAGAATTATGACTGATGACATTATACCAGGACATATCAGATTTCTAGAAATTTTATGCAATTTCTTTAATACTTATATTAATAATATATATTCCTACAAATAACACATAACCCTAATTATTTTAATATTTCTCTTTCAGAAAGATAAAAAACAAATCTTTTGAGGGCCCACTGGAAAATCCCAAAGTTACTTTGAGGTCAAAAGCACTTTATTTAGAATTTGATCCTGGGAGTTCAAATGTTGTCAAAAACGTCAAAAGGTTTAAAACTCTTGATAAAACAGGATCACAGATCACTTTGAAACAATATTCAGTTATCTATTGTATTAGTCTGTCTGTGTTGCTACGGAGGAATACCTGAGACTGGGTAATTTATAAAGAAAAGAGGTTTATTTTAGCTCGTGGTTCTTCAGCCTGTACAGGAAGCAGAGTGTTGGCATCTCCTTCTGGTGAGCGCCTCAGGAAGCTTGCAGAAAGTGAAAGGGGAGCCAACATATTACATCATAAGAGAGGGAGCAAGAGAGTTGGTGAGGAGGGGGCCGGGCTTTTTAAAGAACCAGCTCTTGCATGAACTCATTGCCACTCATTACCACAGGGAGGGGACCAAGCCATTTATGAGGGATCTGCCCCGGTGACCGAACACCTCCCGCTAGACCCCACCTCCAACATCAGGGGTCACCTTTCTTTCTTTCTTTCTCTTTCTTTCTTTCTTTCTTTCTTTCTCTCTTTCTCTCTTTCTCTCTTTCTTTCTTCCTCTCTTTCTCTCCTTCTCTCCTCTCTTTCTTCTCTTCCTTTCTTCTTTCTTTCTTTCTTTCTTTCCTTCTTTCTTTCTTTTCTCTGAGACAGGTTCTCACTCTGTTGCCCAAGCTGAAGTGCAGTGACACCATCTCGACTCACTGCAACCTTTGTCTCCCAGGTTCAAGCAATTCTCCCACCTCAGTCTCCCAAGTAGCTGGAACCACAGGCACATGCCACCATGTCCAGCTATTTTTTTATTTTCTGGTAGAGATGGGGTTTCACCATGTTGGCCAGGCTGGAGGGGGTCGCATTTCAACATGAGATTTGGATGGGACAGATTTCCAAACCATATCATCTATTTAACCATAGTGACAAAGATTTCAAAGACAAATACACAAAGTTGCATACTTGTAAAAATAAAAACTTTGCTCTTGTAATGTCTTTTTTGTTGTTGTTGAGACAAGGTCTCACTGTTGCCCAGGCTGGAGTGAAATGGTGCAATCATAGCTCACTGTAACTCTGAACTCCTGGGCTCAAGCAATCTTCCCACCTTAGCCTCCTGAGTAGCTGAGATTACAGGTGTGCACTATCATGCCCAGCTAATTTTTCATTTTTTGGTAGAGACCAGGTCTTTCTATGTTGTCCAAGCTAGCCTCAAACGCCTGGCATCAGGCATTCCTCCCACCTCAGCCTCCTAAATTAGCATCGAGATTATAGGTATGATTCACCATGCATGGCCTTCTTTCAAAATCTGTTAATATTTTGTTTTCTTAAGTAATCAAGGACCTGTTAAAGACAACAAGGAGCATGAAAAATTATTTTGATAATTTGATGATTTGACAGGTAATGAAAACTCTTGTACAAACATCAAGAAAACTTTGTTATTTTAACAGAGAAAAGACCTAATTCTAGTTTGCTCACTTGCTTGCTTGCTCTTGGCTCTCTCTCTGCCTTTCTCTTTTCCCAACTTTCTATATTCACTTAATTTTTGTCTTTTATTCTTCTCTTTTTAAAATTACAAAACAATCTTAAATAACCTCTAAACTAGGACAAAATTTTTCTCCTTTTCTCTCAACAAAATTCATCTTTTTATGCCTCATAACTTTTCTTGCCAAAAACACATCCTACTTTCATTACATTCTTTGCATACAGTTTTGTTTCTTATTATTTCTAGTAGTTTTATGACATATTTTTGTTTGAATTTTAACCTTAATAACCCTAATTCCCAGTAACAACTAGAAATAAGCAATTGTGAACTTTGTGTTGTGTACTAACATTCTGTCATGGATTAGGCAAGTTGTGAACAAACCATTCTATAATTTCTGGAGGCATAGGCCTCCTTCATAGCATACTTTCTTTGATGTAACAAGAAGAACACATTACTAACAGGTCCAAATATCTTTTGTCTTTGCATCAATTAAGAAGCTCAAGTAGATGAACTTATATTCAGTTATTAATGTTTTGGTATTTCATCTTATTTGTAAATGATCTAAATATTCAATTAATATTTATCATTTAACTTAACTGAGTATAACTTTAAGATTTCAAATTTCCGGAAAGATTTTGGAAACTGTATTTAAGCAGATACATTTTTATAAAACATAATCATTCTTGTAAAGTTTATTTGTAAACTTTCATCCTATTTACATGTATTTAATTGACTTATTCTTTAAAATTATGTTTCGATTACTCATGAAAATTCCATGAGACATTAGACAAAGCTAGTCCTCATTTTAAGCTGTTTTTCTTATTGGCAGTTTTTATAACTTGTTAGGCAACCATCAAACATCATTGAAGCAAAGCACCAGAAAATGTAAACATATAGCTTTTTTCCCCTTTACCATCATGCTAGACATACATTAAGAAATTTACTTTTACTGTATGTTTTATTTTTAAGTTGAATTTATAATCTTAAAAACTTAAATGTCAAACAGAGATAACGTGGCTTGTTTGACTAGTAACCCCAGGTAGAAAAAAAATGTATATTTGAATTATATTTAACATTGATAACCTGAAGACATGCCTGTTTTTATTAAACCAACAACCTTGAGCTAGCTTTATTTACCAAAAATGATCCCAGCTCGTATGAGCTTGGAAAACATGTGAGTTAGTCTCTATATTTCTCTCTATATAAGCATTTATGTTTTTTTCTTTAAGACAATTAAATAGAGCTCTTTTACAAGTTACTTTTGGCAATACCATCTAGAGGTAGAAAAAATATTATATATATCAGCAATCACAGTCATACATAAAAACATGGCCCAGATGCAAACAGAGATATTATAGCTTTCATTCTAAAATTTTAGCCATGAATCAGGTATAATAACACAAAACTCACTAGTTTATCACAGTTTATAGAAGAAAAGTTGGTTCCAAACTGTGTTTCAGGCAGATGGAAAAAGTTAAGTTTACCTGCTCAGATAGAGATGACTTTTAAAAAATATTTATGGAGAAGACTTTTAAGATTTTTTATTTGCTCTTCATTGGTGATCTCATGGAGACTATGAACTAGATTGAGGGAAAGGAAGTGTTCCTCATGGTTTGGAGTTGTTTGGTTTTTAAGCCACTTTTTTTTTTTTTTTTAGTTCCAGCTGGGCTAGGCATAGAAATTGTTTTAGTTAACTCGTCAGATGTTTACATTGTGAAGACATAGTAAGGTTTACATCTCCAAGGGACTGAGAAAAGATGTGGGTTTTCTCCAAGAAAGAGTTTTGGAATATATTTGCCTATTATTAGGCATATAGGGTAATTTTTTCTTTTTGTTAAATATTTATATTACTTTGAGTGTAATGAGGTGCTTCTTAGTGTTTCAAGACAGAGAGTGAATTGGTGTTGAGAAAAGGGGCATTGTTGGAGAGCAGTTGAGTATTATTTCTGAATGAGTGACCAAGAAGATGATGCTGTTTTTATCACAGATGGTGAATACAAATTGGGTTGTGGGGCTAATAGTGAATTCAGCCTCGAACATTTAGAGTTTGAATTACTTACTTAACCTCCAAGCTAAAACCATTGGTCTAGACTGAGCTTACTAGTAAAAGAGTCAAGGGCCAGCATCAATATTTGTAAGTCATAAGGTGATCCATAAGTGATGATTCCGTAAAGGGAGCGCTTGCAGATCAGGGCTTAGGCAGAGAAACATCAAAAGCCAATGTGAGGCCAGGCAAGGTGGCTCATGCCTGTAATCCCAGCACTTTGGGAGGCCACAGTGGGCAGATTGCCTGAGGTCAGGAGTTTGAGACCAGACTGGTCAACATGGTGAAACCCATTTCTACTAAAAATACAAAAATTAGCCAGGCATGGTGGTGGGCGCCTGTAATCCCAGCTACTCGGGAGGCTGAGCCAGGAGAATTGCTTGAACTCAGGAGGTGGAGGTTGCAGTGAGCTGAAATCGTGCCACTGCACTCATACTCCAGCCTGGGTGATAGAATGAAACTCAGTCTCAAAAAAAAAAAAAAAAAAGGCCAACCTGAAAGGAAACAATCAGTGAGGCAGAAGAACCAAAAGGGAGGTAGGTGCTAAAGAAAACCGAGTAAGAAAAAAATTGCAAGGAGAGAAAGAGTAAAGAGAGTACATGCAACAAATATCAGGAAAGGAGAGGCCTAGGGAATCAGGGCTAGATTTGAGGATTCCAATGTCATTATTATCTTTGTAATTAAAAATCATTCCTCATTTTCCACAGAAACTGATGCAGAGCCTCATCAGTTTAATTTCTGCAACAACCAGTACAATTACTTATATGCAACTGGTATAGATAGATAGCTTTATATTTTATGTTTCTCTTTTATGATTATAACGAATCCTTGTTTTACTTCCTGTTATTATTTTGTGTTTCCAATAGAGAGGTTCAATTAAGAGGTTGAAAAGCTTCAGGAAGAAATTTAAGCTGAAATGAAATGAGGGAGTAACATCAGCAAGATGATGAAAATGGAAGATCCCCTACTATCACTCCCTGCAAAAAAAAATACAACTAGAAACTACTTAAAGATGAGAACGCAACCCTGAGTTCACCACAATTCAAGGGAGAATTGAAGAAACCTCCGGGGCCCTCAGAGATGAGAGAAGCTGTGACAGGTAAGAAAAATGGCCATTTCAGACATCATAGCCCCCTCCATCAAGCTGGCATAATGCCACTCATAGAGAGAATTTTCCTAGACTCGTGGTTTCTGAGGTAAGAAGAGGGAGTTGGAAGTGGACATAGAAGTGGACATACAATCTCCCCACCAGTCTGGGAATCTTCTCAGGAAGCCCACTTTTGCCCCATCCTATGGGAACAATGGGAGTGCTAGAGGGCTGAATTATATGGGATGAACTGAGACAAAGAGTGGGACACTGATCATAGCAACTGGCATGTGGATCTTGGCAGTTACTCTTCACTCCAATCAGTATGGACACCACACTGAAGAGACTGGCTGGCACTATAGTGCTTTCGTGGACACAGTCTGTGAGAAGGCCTGAACCCCTGGCCAGATTTCAACAAAGACTAGGAGTTCCCATGGAGCCTCCACTGGACCAGAAACAACTAGAAACGTTGGGACTGAGTTCCAGTGACTGCTTAAGTCTTCCACAACCTGGGAGACAGTGGCAGGGCAGCAATATAGCTCCAGGGCATTGTTAACTTAGTGCTCACTATAAGTCTTCCCCAGACTGGGAAACAGTGGCAGGACGAAAGTTAGTTCCAGTGCAGTGATTTAGTTCTGGTACTCACTATAAATTCTCCCCACCCCAGAAAATAATAATAATAATAATATCAGCAGTTAAGTTCTGATACTAAGTAATAAAGGTCTAACACCAAAGAACACACCTGCAAGAACTGGAAGAGGTAGCTATCTCCTGAAATGTACAGGTATTAAGGCAAAGCCACAAGAACTGTAAAAACTCAGAGAAATATGACCTTACCAAAAGAAATCAACAAAGCTCCCGCAGTGGAGCCAGAAGAAGTGAAGATCTAGGAAATGTTAAACAGACAATTCAAAATAATCCTCTTAAATTTAGAGAATCACAAGAAAATATGGATAGGAAAAAAAAATAAAATTTGGAAAGTGACCCAGTAACAAAATGAGATATTTGACAAAGAAATAAAAGAAATAAGAAATGAAACAAACAAATCCTTTATTTCTAGGATTTCTCTGTTTCTAGAAACCCTAGAAATAAAGGACACAATAACTAAACTGAAAAACTCATTAGAAAGTTTTAACAGCAGACTTGATTAGAGAAAAGAATTAGTAAGTTTGAAGACAGCACATATGAAATTACCTAATCAGAGGAGAAATAAAGACAAAAGAATTTGAAAGTGTAAAGAGGAACTTTTTAAGAATTATGGCACATGATCAAGCAAACTAACCTCTGCATAGTAGGAATTCCCAAAGGAGGCAAGAGAGAAAAAGGCCTAGAAAACATATTTAACAAAACAATGGTGAAAATTTCCCAAAGATGGAGAAAGAGGATACCATTCAGATACAGAAATCTCAGAGGTCATCAATCAAATTAAACCCAAAGAGGTAATCCCTAAGGCATATCATAATCAAATTAACAAAAAATCAGAGACAAAAAATACTCACTGCAGCAAAAGAAAAGAAAAATATTACATTAAACAAAGCACCAATACAGCTTTCACTGGATTTCACAGCAGAAATCCTACAGGCCAGGTGAGAATGGGATGCTTGAAAGTGCTGAAAGAAAAAAAAAAAAAAAACTGCCAACCAAGAATAACGTGTCCAGCAAAGCTATTAAAACAAGAAGAGAGATAAAGACTTTTCCAGACAAACAAAAACTGAGGGAATTTGTCAACACCAGACCTGTGTTACAAGACATGCTAAAGAGAGTTCTTCAATCCGAAAGAAATGTATGCTAACATGTAACAAGAAACAATCTGCAGGTATGAAACTCATTGGTAAAAAAAAGAAAACAGACCAATTCAGAATACACCAATAGTGAAATTAGGGTAAGTAAATGACCTATATCTTAAATATGAAGATTAAAAAACAAAACCACTAAAAAGAATAATGACAACAATTTATTAAGAGATGCACAATGCAAAAAAAGTAAACTGAAACACAAAAAAGTCAAAACGTGGTGAGAGGATGGTATTGAAGTGCAGAGTTTGTTGTTTCTTATATTTTCTTTGCAATAAAATATAAGTCACTATCAGTTTAAAATAGCCTATTATAAATATAAAAGGGTTTTTGTAAGCCTCATGTTAACCATAAAGCAAAAACCTACAATATATATACTCAAAATAAATAGCATGAAATAAAAATGTACTACTAGTGGAAATCACTTAACCACAAAGGAAGAGAGTGAGAGACGAAAAAGGGAAGAATTCACAAAACAGCAAGAAGTCAAGTAACAAAATGGCAGTAATAAACCCTTACTATGAATAATAACTTTGAATGTAAATGAATCAAATTTTCCAACCAAAAGACATAGAGTGGCAAGATTCAACTGTATGCCATCTACAAGTACTTCACTTAATCTATAAAGACATTCACAAAGTGAAGGAATGAAAAAAGATATTTCATGCAAATAGAAACCAAAAAGGAACAGGGATAGGTTTACTAATATCAGATAAACTAGACTTGAAGCCAAGAGTTATTTTTAAAATGACAAAAAAGAAGGCCACTATTTAATGATAAAAGGGACAGTACAGTAACAATACATAACAATTGTAAATATATATGCACCCAATACTGGAGCACACAAATATGTAAAAAAGTTAATAGACCTAAAGGGAGAGATTGACTACAATAAATAGTAGTAGGAGATTTCAACACCTCCATTTTCAGTGATGACTAGATCACTCAGACAGAAAAGTAACAAAGAAACATTGGAGTTAAACTGAACTCTAGACCAAGGGAACATAACAGATATTTTATGTTATGCTATATTTTATTTTATTTTATTTTATGTTACAGATATTACAGAACATTCCATCCAACAGCTGCAGAATACACATTTTTCTCAACAGCACATAGAAGATTATCCAGGACAGATCATATGTTAGGTCCCAAAACAAGTCTTGACACATTTTTTAAAAATCCAAATCATATCAAGTGCATTTCTTACCACAATTATTCCAATTATTCCACCATTCTGGAATAAAACTAGAAACCAGTTTTTAAAAAAGGAACACTGGAAATTGTACAAACTCATGGAAATTAAACAACATACTCCTGAACACTGAATGGGTCAATGAAGAAATTAAAAGGAAATTTAAAATTACCTTCAGACAAATGAAAATGGAAACATGACATACCAAAACCTATGTAATATATCAAAGCAGTTCTAAGAGCAGTTCTGCAGCAATAAATGCCTACATCAAAAAAGCAGAAAGACTTCAAATAAACAACCTGAAGATCACCTCAAGGAACTAGACAAGGAAAAACAAACTGCACTCATAATTAGTAGAAGGAAAGAAACAATAAAGATGACAGCAGAGTGAAACTGAGACTAAAACAATACAAAAGATTGATGACGCAAAAATTGCATTCTTGAAATAATAAATGAAATTAACAAAACTTTAGCTAGACCAAAGAAAAGGGAGAGGACTCAAATAAATAAAATCAGAAACAAAAAGGGAGATATTACAATGGATACCACAGAAATAGAGAATCATTACAGATTATTAGGAATAACTGTATGCCGATAAATTGGGAAAACTAGAAAAAAAAAGATTAATTCCTGGGCCCTTACAACCTACCAAGATGCAACCAGGAAGAAATAGAAAACCTGAACAGACCAATAACAAGTAATGAGATTGAAACAGTAATAAAAAGTCTCCCATCAAAGAAAAGCCCAAGATCTGATGGGTTCACTGTTGAATTCTACCAAACATTTTAAGAAGAATTAATACCAATTCTACACAAACTATTCAAAAATCTTGAAGAGGAAGGAATACTTCCAAACTCATTCTATAAGGCCAGCATTACTGAGACACCAAAACTAGACAAATACACAATTAAAAAAGAAAACCACAAACCAATTTCACTGATAAACATAGATGCAAAAATTCTTAACAAATTATCAGCAAATTGAATTCAACAACGTATTAAAAAAGATCATTCCATCATAGTCAAGTGAGATTTATCCAAGAGATGCAATAATGGTTCAACATATGCAAATCAGTAAACTTGATACACCACACTGACAGAATCAAAAATAAAAATTGTATGATCATTTCAATAAATGCTTAAAAAGTATTTGATAAATTTCAACATTTTTTCCATGATTAAAACTCTCAACTAATTGGGTATAGAGGGAACATACTTCAAAAAAATGAAGGTGATATGTGAAAAACCCACAGCTAACATACTGAATAAGGAAAAATTGAAAACCTTTCCTCTAAGATCCAGAACACAATAAGGATCCCCATTTTCACCACTTTTTCAATAGATTACTGGAAGTTTTAGCCAGAAAAATTAGGCAAGAGAAAGAAAATAAAGGACATCTAAATTGGCAAGGAAGAAGTCAAGTTATCTTTGTTCACAGATGACATGATTCTGCATTTTGAAAACTTTATGATTCCATGAAGAAACTATAATAACTGATAAACAAAGTTGGTAAAGTTGCAGGATACAAAATCAACATATAAGAATTAGTAGCACTTCTACATGCCAGTGGAAACAATCTGAAAACAATCAATAAAGTAATCCCATTTAAAATAGCTACAAAAAATTGAAATAGCTAAAAATAAATTTGACTGAAGAAATGAAAGCTCTCTACAAGGAAAACTATAAAACACTGATGAAAGAAGTTAAAAAAGACTCACAAAAAATGGAGTGATATCCCATGTTCATGGATTGGAATAATTAATATTGCTAATATGTCCATACTACCCAAAACAATCTACAGAGTCAATGCAATTGCTATCAAAATACCAATGATATTATTCACAGAAGAATAAAAAAAAAAATTTAAATTTGTATGGAACCACTAAAGACCCCAAATAACCAAAGCAAACCTGAGAAAAAAAACAAAGCTGGAGGTATTACACGACCTGATTTCAGAATATACTGCAAGGCTATAGTAATAAAAACAGCAGTACTGTCATAAAAACAGACACTTAGGCCCAAAGGAACAGAATAGAGAACCCAGAAATAAATCCACATCATATTTGTAACCAACTCATTTTTGCAAAGGTACCAAGAACATACTTTGGGGAAAGAACAATCTCTTCAATACATGGGAAAACTAGATATCCATATCTAGTTATCCAGAAAAATAAAACTAGATAAAGGGATGAAAGATTTAAAAATACGACCTGAAACTATGAAATTACTAAAAGAAAACAGCGAGGAATCACCTCAGGACATTGGTCTGGGCAAAGATGTTTGGGGTAAGACCTCTAAAGCACATACAGTAAAACCCAAAAATAGACAAGTGGGATTATATCAAGCTAAAAATGTTTTACATAGCAAAGAAAACAATCTACAAAGTTAAGAGACAACTTACAGAATGGAAGAAAATATTTGCAAAGCATCCATCTGAAAAGTGATTACTAAACAGAATATATAAGGAACTCAACTCAATAAGATAAAAACAAATAATTCAATTTTAAAAATGGGCTAAAGATCTAAACAGACATTTCACCAAAGCAGACATACAAATGGCAAAGAGGAATATGAGAAAAGTGTTCACTACCACTAATACAAATCAAAACTACAGTGTGATATCATCTCACCCCAGTTAGAATGGCTACTATCAAAAATACAAAAAATAACAAATGCTGGCAAAGATGTGGAGAAAGGGGAATGCTCATACACTGTGGGTGGGATAGTAAATTAGTGCTGCCTCTATGGAAAACAGTATGGAAGTTTCTTCAAAAATTTAAAATAAATCCACCATACGATCTGCTGGGTATATATCCAAAGAAGAAAGGAAATCAGTACACCAAAGAGATATTGGAGGAAGAAGCAAAGCAAGATGGCCAAATGGAACCCTCCAGTGATTGTCCCCACTGCAGGAACACCAAATTGAACAAATATCTTTGCAAGAAAACACCTTCATAAGAAACAATAATCTGTTGAGCCTTCATAGTGCCTTGTTTTAACATGATATCAAGGAAAGAGAAACTGAAGAGGATAGGAAAGACAGTCTTCCACTGGCTACAGTACCCATCCCTCCATCCCAGGAAATGCATGGAAAGAAAATCTATGTGCTTGGGGGAGGGAGAGTGAAGTGATTGTGGGATTTTGCATTGGAACTCCGTGCTGCCCTATTGCAGAGGAACCCAGCACAGGGAAGAACTCTGCCATTGCCCATGGAGGGAGCATATAGAATAGCCTCAGCCAGAGTAGGATCCTCCACTCCAAAGAAGTTCCCGCTAGCTCCACCATTGACTCACTAAAGTGACCTGGAGTCCTGAATATATTTGAAAGGCAGTCAGGCCACAAGGACTGCAGTCTCTAAGCAAGTCCTGGTGCTGCATTGGGCTCGAAGTCAGTGGACTTGGGGTGCAGCAACCCAGTGAAACATCAGTTGCTACAGATAAGAGAATGCTTACATCACCCCTCCAACAACTCCAAGCAGTACAGCTCAAGTAGACTCTTCCACTTGCAGAAAAGAGAGGGAAGATTACAGAGGACTTTGCCTTGCAACTTGGGGACCAGCTCAGCCACAATGAACTAAAGCATCAGGCAGATTCCTGAAACCCCTGATTCCAGGCCCTAGTTTCTGGACAGTACTTCTAGACCGACCCTGTGCCAGAAGGCAACCCAATGCCCAGAAAGAAAAGACCCAGTCCTGGCAGGATTCACCACCTGATGACTAAAGAGCTGTTGTCTTTGAATAAACATCAGTGATAGCCAGGCAATAGTCACCATGGGCCTTGAGCAAGATACAGCACTATGCTGACTTCAGATGTGATCCAGCACAGTCCCAGCTATGGTGGCCAGGGAAGTGCTTGCATCACAACTCCCCCTATTCCAGGCAGCCTAGCATGGAAAGAGAGGCTCCTGTTTGGGGTAAATGAGGGAAGAAAATGAGAGATCCTGCTTGGTAATTCAGGGGATTCTTTTGGATCTTACCCAAGCCCTCTTCGAGCCTGCAAGTATCACAGTGTTACTGGGCTTGGGGTGCTCTCTAGTCCAGATACAGTTGCAATGACCAGAGACTTAGATGACAACGTTCAATTCTCTTTGAATATCTCAAAAGCCTTCTCAAGAAAGATTGGTACAAATAAGCCTAGACTGTGAAGATAAGAATAAATACCTAACTCCTCAATGCCCAGGCATCAACAAACATCCGTAGGCATCAGGACTATCCAGGAAAACATGACCTCACCAAATAAACTAAATAAGGCACCAGTAACCAAACCTGCAGTGATAGAGATGTGTGAACTTTCACACAGGGAATTCAAAATAGTTACTTTAAGGAAGCTCAACAAACTTCAAGATAACAAAAAAGGAATCCAGAATTCTATCAAAAATTTTTAACAAAGACATTGAAATTTTTTTTAAAAATTAAGAAGAAATTCCGGAGTGGAAAAATTCAACTGACAAACTGAAAAATGCATCAGAGACTCTATACAGCAGAATTGATTAAGCAGAAGAAAAAATTAGTGAGCTTCAAGACAGGGTATATGAAAATATACAGTCAGAGGAGAAAAAATAGAAATGAATAAAAAAGAATGAAGCATGCCTACAAGATATAGAAAACAGCATCAAAAGGGCAAACCCTAAGAGTTATTGGCTTTAAAGAAGAGGTAGAGAGATTGAGCTAGAAAGCTTATTCAAATAAATAACAGACCTTTCCAAACCTAGAAGAAGATACCAACATTCAAGTATAAGAAGGTCATAGAACACCAGGAAGATTTAACCCAAATAAGAATATCTCAAGATATTTAATAAACCCTCAAAGGTCAAGGATAAAGAAAGGATTCTAAAGGCAACAAAAGAAAAGAAGCGGATAACATATAAAAAGCTCCAATGTGTCTGGCAGACTTCCCAGTGGAAACCTTATAGTCCTGGAGATAGTGGCATGACATATTTAAAGTGCTGAAAGAAATAAAACGTTTATCCTAGAATAGTACATCCAGTGAAAATTCCTTAAAACATGAAGAAGAAATAAAGACTTTCCCAGACAAATAAAAGCTGAGTGATTTTGTCAACACCAGACCTATTTTACAAGAAATCCTAAAGGGACTCCTTCAATCTGAAAGAAAGGGTTGTTAATGAGCAATAAAAAATTATCCAAAGTTACAAAACACTCGTAAGAGTAAGTACACAGGTAAATACAGAATACTCTAACACTGTAATTGTGATGTGTAAACCACTAATTTACTGAGTAGGAATACTAAAAGACAAACCTCTCAAATACAATAACTACAACAAAGTTTTAAGAGGCAGAGTGTATAAAAAGATAAGAAACAACAAAAAGTTTAAAAAGTCGGGGGAATGGAGTTAAAGTGTAGAACTTTTATTAGTTTTCTCTTTGTGTTTTTGTTTTTGTTGTTTTTCTGTAATCAGAGTTAAGCTGTCATGAGTTTAAAATAATTAGTTATAAGATATCATTTACAAGTCTCATGGTAATCTCAAATTTTAAAAACCTAGAACAGATACACACAAAAAAAAACAGCAAGAAATTAAAGCATACTACCAGAGAAAAATCAGTTTTACACAAAGAAACCAGGAAGGAAGGAAAACCAAAATCAACCAGAAAATATATAAAATGGCAGTAGTACCATATGATCCAGCAATCTCAATACTGGGTTTAAAAAGATAGGAAATTGGTACATCCAAGAGATATCTGCACCCCCACGTGTATTGCAGCACTATACACAATAGCCAA